GGGGGGAGGCAATGGGAGGCGATGTATTTTGAGGCGGGGGATGGGGATGAACAGCCATCTTTGGGGTTGGGGCAGAGGGGAGTGTGGACCCCCTAGAACAGTGGGAGACACTCGCCTCCATAATTTGGGACCCCCCCCGCCCGTGTTGGATTTGAGGCTGGGGAAGCGTTGGGGAAGGATGGTGGATTGGGGGGGGGGCGAAGAATGAGGCGCCGTTTTTGGGGTTGTGAAGGGGGTTTTTGGGGTTTGCCCCGGAACATAGGGAGATCTCCCCCCTCCCCAGAATTTGGGACACCTCCCCTCTGTGTTGGATTTGGGGGGAAGGGGCGCGGTGAGGGGAGAAAACGATGGATTGGGGGGGGGATGAACAGCCATCTTTGGGGTTGGGGGAGGGGAAGGGAATGGTGACCCCCCTGGAACACTGGAAGACTGCTCCCCAAAATTTGAGAGATCCCCGTGTTGGATTTGGTGGGGGGAAGGGCCTCTTTGTCCTCCCTAAATGGGGGGGGGGCTCAGTTCAGCCTCTCCCAGCCCTGTTTCCATGGGGAGGGGTACAAGGGACCCCCCTGGGACCTCCCTGTCACCCCTCCATCCCCCTCCCCCCAGATTTTGGGGGCTGAGTGTGCAGCAACCATGGGACCCCCTGAGACCACCCAAGGAACAGGTAAGGGGAGGGACAGAGGGGCCACAGGGGCAACTGGGGAGGATGAAGGGGGGTTAGGGTTACATTTGGGGGGGCACAGAGGGATGGGGGATCACCCAGAGGGATTTTGGGGGGACAAATGGATTTGGGGGGGAAACAAAGGGATTTGAGGTCACACAGAGGGATTTGGGGGGCACAAAGGGGTTTGGAGAGCACAGAGATTTAGGGGGGAGCACACAGAGAGGTTTGGAGGGGAAAGAAGGGATTTGGCATCACATTTTGGGGGACATAGAGGGATTTGGGGGGCACAAAGGGATTGGGGGGGTAGCAAAAGGATTTGGGGTTACACAGAGGGATTTGGGGGGCACAGAGGGATTTGGGGGGAGGAGGGATTTGGGGGGACACCCCACCCCCCCCAAATCCCTGGATTCAGAGGATCCATCCCCAGCTCAGCAGAAAACAGGATACAAAGGGTCCTTTGGGATTTAGGGGGGGGGGATTTCTGGGGTTGGGGGTTCCCATGTGTGTTTTGGGGTGCTCATGACCCCCCTGTTTCCCCCTAGGCCCCCCAAACCCCACCATGGAGCAGGAGGAGCCTGAAGTGGTGGAGCTGCAGGACTCGGATGAGGGGGACGAGGGGGACGTGGTCAGGAGG